AAAAAAATAACCTCTTCGATATAGTGTGCAAAGAAGCGCTTAATACAGGTCCAACGCCACTTCCGGTGTCCGACGGCTTCAAATGCAATGCCGATAACCGTTGTTGCTCACTATTCAATCTGAAATCATCAATCCAATAATGAAAATCGCCACTCAAAAATTCAATCGACCCATTACCAACACACAGAAAATTCCAATCATCCAACGTCACTCATTCAAAAGACACAACAAAACGAATAAATGAATCGAAACAATATCGAACACATTCATCGTTAAATGAATCGAATTACACCCTGTGAACAAACATACCCAAATTATACTTAAAACTTAAAATAAAAACGAAGAACATAATCCAAATCAAAACAAACACATACATGCGAACGACATCTTTGATTAGTGCACGCACTTCCTTTAGCTCTTTTTCAGTGAACGGCTTAAAACTAACAATATAAATTATCATGCTTTCGATTCAATTGCGAATAAACAATGCAGCACATCCTAGAAACTCGAATAAATTCCACCTATGCAATCTCAACTTCTCATTTTCATTTCTGCATCTCTTTTTTACCACCACCACCACCTTCGCTACACTCAAGTATACCACTAAACTATTCACCCATTCAGGAAAAAAATCTCTTCTTCCGTTCAGAAATTTAAAAAAAAACCCCAACGATAAGGAAATGCCCTAATTACCTGATGTCTGAAACGGCAGTGTTCAGCCAAGAAGCCCAATCGTTCAATGAGTTGCTCGGGCAGGGTCGGCAGCGCAACCTGTTTCATTCTGGTCAAGTATAGATAAGTCGACTCACCTGCACTACGAACCAAGTCTGCATTCACGAATTCCAACTGACGATCTCAAAAAACAACACATCAAAATCATCAACCCATTAACTTTTTCTCTCAACGTGAATGTTAACTAGAAAAGAAAAAAACTGAAATGCATAATGATCCATGCAAAACCAACCAATTTCACGTAGCTCATCCAAAGCAATCATACGATTGATGTAGGGCGCATTTGCATCTATAACAACAAAAGCTTGCCTTTGAATTATTCAGAAAATAATTTATAAGAATTTTGTAAACACCCACAAACGAGCTTGATATTACATCCATTTAAACACATACAACACAACATCCGTCAGTAATCATTCACTTAAATTATCGATGTGACAACATCGACATTTAAGTTTAGGCATCGCATTAACGCCTAATTTTGGTCGAATGTTTCGATTACAAACGAAAAATGAAGAATTAAGAAAATTTCTCGAAAACAATAAAACTTTTCCGAACAGCAAAACAAAACAGATAACAAATAAAAGATGCCTACGTTCGGCTATTGTACCAATTTCAGTGAATTTTGGAGCACGAAGCAGTTGAAATTGTCGCACCAGTTCTATCCTTTTCAAAACTTCATTACGCTGATTCTAAAATCAGAAACAACAAAAATTTCGAACCACATTTTGACTAAATTCATTAGATTGTTCAGTTCCTCTAATGGGAAAATATTTAAGCGATCTGAATGAAGTATTTTTGAATGACTGAACACCGAAATTCACCAGCTCTAACCACATAACTATCCACATCTCACTTCAATCATACCACAATCAATGCAAAATCAGCATTTCCTTGTCATTTCGCTAGGCACATAACGATTAAAAATGGAAGTTGTTATGAATCAAAATGTGCAGAACAACGAACTAAAACAAACTTTGGTCATTCCAACGCCAATACTAATATTTTGTTCACGACGAACGTTATTGTTACGAAGGCGAAATATCTGTCGTTGTATAGCGATTACCAGTATTACAATCACCTGAAGCATACGCAGCTGATAATCAAATATGACACAACAAAAATTTTTGCTATCAAATCAACCAAACCATTAATAAAAGTTTAACAACATTTGATGGTAGACTTTAAAAAACCTTCTCAATCTACTCATAGTTTTCATACACTCTGTTAATCAACCTCACAAGAATCGCTAACTATAGCTGGATTCTCCGAGTGAAACAGCACCAAACTGATTATACGACAGTGACCATACAATTACTGTTTCAGTCAGTTAAAATGCTTAAATCACGACGAGAGAATACAACCAGAAACGATGAGC